AAAATTAACTCATCACTAAGTGTAGATTTGTTCCATCCCAGAGGACTGAGGAAATTGCACTTCTCACAAAAGAGTCACAGTTGAAATGTTTGAGAAACAATGTAAGGGATGTTGTCAATTTTCCAAACATAAAAAAAGGTAGAAGATGAGATCTGTAGAGTGGAAAGCTTGACTTCTATGCACAGCACAATTCTGGAACAGAAAATTAAGCAGATGGTTTGTGATCATTTAGTAAAGACTGTAGTGGTTGCTAGGAGCTAACATGGGTTTACAAAGAACAAATCTTCTCAAACATCCCATTTCCCTTTTAAATAGTATTATGTGGTGTGTAGAACTGAAGAATTCCATTGTAGCAAAGCATCTAATTGTCTCCTTATGGGTAGGATGGTGAAATATGGGCTAGATGATAGTACTGTTGGGTTTGAACTAGGCAGTAGTTGAAGCCAGCTGATGAATGTCATAGTTATTTTGATGGGGGTCTCTGGTGGAATACCATGCAGCTCTGACGTATATTCTTCCCATTTAAAATTTTAATTAGGAATTTGAATGAAGACCTATGGGATGAATGTGTATCAAGTGTGCAGATTGCCCAAAGCTGGTAGGATAATAAATATAATAGATGAGCTCATCAGAATTCAGAATACTGCTGATCATTTGAAGCATTGAATGGAATTCAAAGACTGGATTTCTTTCTTTTTTTTTTTTTTTGAGTTGGAGTCTCACTCTGTCGCCCAGACTGGAGTGCAGTGGCCGCTCCGGGCCACCGCAGCCTCGACCTGCTAGGCTCCGACGATCCTTCCGCCTCAGCCTTCCAAGTAGCTGGAACTACAGACATGCACTACCACACCTGGCTAATTTTTTATTTATTGTAGAGATGAGGTCTGGCCAAGTTACCCAGGCGGGTCTCGAACCCTCGGGCTCAGGCAATCCACTCACCTCAGCCTCCCAAGGCCAGGATGACAGGCTGTGCCACCGAGCCCGGCTTCAGTGTCATGGATTTCTGACACTGAAGGTGAAGACTGTGGGCTCAAAAGAGCAACCTGAGTAAGAAAGGAGATTGTGTTTGGTAGAAATCAAATGAAAAATGATCTGGTGATTTAATTGGACATATGCTTCATATTCGTTCATTCATTCAGTAGGTATGTATCAAATGTACTACCAGCCATACACTTTTCTTGGCATTGAGGAGGCAGTGGTGAACAAAACAGTTAAAAATCCCTACCTACAAGGAGCAAATATTCCCTTTGTTCCAACAGTTATGCAGCTGCTAAAAACAAAACAAAAAAGAAGAGCCTGGTGTTAGGCTTTATTTGTAGGAGTATAACATCCAACCCATGATGGTCAGTAGTTCTACTTTATTACTTAATACTTGATACTATATTTTGCACTGGGATCAGTATTTCCAGTTCTAAATATCACAATTTGGACAAAAAAGTGTAACAATAGCCTGGTGAGAGGAATATTGTAGAAAGACTGGTCAACAATAAGAAGAGAAGACTAAACAGAGGCATTATATCCCTCAGGTCTATGGGGAGAGGGTATAAACTAGTTCTCTGTTGCTCTCAGGAATCACAACTAATTACCAGGAAGCAGGTTTCTGGTAAATATCAGATTACTGGGGAACTGTTCTAGCTGTAGCTTGTGTGAGCTCCAGAAAGGCTGACACTGTCACTCTTATGTCTTGTCTTCCACTGAATTCCTAGTACCCAGGACGGTGCCGATAGATATTTGCTAAGTAAATAATGAAAAGAGGGAATTCAGCATGAGGTGAGCATCTACATAGAATAGATTTTCAGCTAGTGTTTGTGCCCTAGTCCTAAATGCATGGATGTCACATGGCACTTTGTGAAAATAACGTTTTGTACTAAAATGATGGTAAAACTTTACCTCAACTTTTGTATATTGTAAGGAATCTGAAGGTGGAATAAAGAACCTGGGAACAGATGTGGGAGGGCAGAATGTTTTATTTTACTGACTTTGCACAGCTCTAAATTAAACTACTTTTCTTAAGAGACATTTAAGAGACCATTTTAGGATTTATTTGAAATTTCTCAAGTATGCTTCATTCAAACATTATCCATCCCAGATCAACGTCATAATTTTCTTTCTTTCCCCTAATTCTGACCCATCCAAGTCCTGCTTTCTCTAATTTCAAAAGCAATTCTACAGTTTAGCGTGTAATTATTTTCTAGTTGTTTCATAGGTCTCTCTTCTAGATGACAAGCTTTTTGAGGCAAAACCTTAAAATATTTTATTAACTTTTATATTAATATATTTTTTGGTCTTCTTTCAGACACATAACAGGCACTCAGTAAATGACAACGGTTTGGTTGCTTGATTTGTGGATACCTTAGGAGGGATGGTTGCTGAAAGTATCTTTCCAGCCTCTGCGTTTTGGGATCATCCCCACTGGCTGCAATACCTCTCTGGAATGTTCCAATGGATTAAAATTAATTTCTAGTTAGCACTCATGTAAGACATGGCAAGTTAAACAAACTTTCACTTCTCTGTTCCAAGCATCCAAGGAGGAGATTGTAGTCATAATTTATTGGAGTCTGCCACTTTGGTGAGACAGGTGCTTTGTTCAGAGTGGATTCTTCGTATATAGTTTAATCTATATTAATGACTGAACCCTAGGGCTCAATCAGTCTTCTTGGCTTCACCTCCATGGGGAACTAGGACTGAAGGTGCCAATCTCCAACCCCAGTTTAGAGGCTGATTGAGTGATTCCTATAACCAGGGTGATCAGATAATAGCACCTGAAAATACAGGATGCCCAAGTTATATGTGAAGTTCAGATAAACAACCATGAGATGTTTGGGACATACATATGCTAAAATAGTATTCATTGTTTATGTACAATTCAAATGTAACTGTGTGCCCTGCATTTTATCTGGCCACCCTTCATATGGTCCCATTCCTCTCATTTCCCAGTAAATCTAGGCTCTTAATTAACTCTCCAGTTAAGTGAACTGAAAGAAAATATTGATGCCAATGTGATTGATTCCAATGGCAAACTTGTAAAAATCTCCCAAACGAGAAATCCACATGATGTATGCTTTTTGTGGTCGTATCCTTTCGGATATATTCAATAATAATAATGCCATGAATTTTTCTAGGATCTTGGTAGTATCAAATTAAGCTCTCAGTTTTCAGTGGCATAATTTATTTGGTTCATATACTATATTGCTGATATATTTATCTTGTTCAGGCTGTGAGTAACCACTGCTGACAAATAAATAATTAGGCTCTGTGCATTAGAATGAGGTGAAATGTGACTTTAGCATAATCTATGGTTTAGTCCTACAAAACAACTGCATTGTAGAAATCAAAGGAAAGCATCACTAGTCTTAATTAATTTTCTTGTTCTCTTATTTCATCTCAGAGAGAAGATAATATTCTTGTTTGTACCACCCTTTAAACTTTTTTGTAGGGAAGACATCACCTACTTAGGAAAATTGCCTTTATTTTTCCTAACTAAATTATGTTGTTTCTTGCTGTCTGATGGCAACAACCTTTAACTATCATTCATTCATTCAGTAAACACAGAGGGTGCCAAAAACATTTATGTGCATGTATACGAATTTTAGGAAAGGGAAAAACTGTATTAAAATTGTAATAAAATATACTGATAACAAAAGAAGAATACAAGTCACATTTGACTTTTGTAATTACAAGAGGTGCGCTAAGTGGGTCCCATCAGCTTCCAGACACTTCTGATTGCAGCGAACTAAAAGTAATACATGGGTAACATCTCTTAAAATGTGTATTTTTTTTTTGTCATCCCTATATTTATTAAGCAGATCTGTGCTAGGCACAAGGGGAAAACAAAATGAACAACGCAGTTCTTGCTTTCAAGGGGTTCATGAGAATCTACATGTTACATGCTTGTTTTTAAGTGGTTCAGCACTGATTTCAATGACAGGATTAGTGGTATAAGCTAGCTAGTTAGCTCATTGAGTAATGAAATGATTTTTCTCTCAATTGCTTTAAAATAATGTCAAGTCTTATGTTTTGAGCAGAAACTTCTCCTACTGGATAGTTCCAGGGGCTAGAATTGAACTGTTTCCTTCTGCCGTGGTTCTTGAGTTAGGACTTTGCTGCTCTGTATGTGGACCTTAGACCAGCAGCCTCAGCGTCTCCTGAGCGCTAGTTAGAAATGCAGACTCTCAGGCCCCACCCCAGACCCACTGAATCAAGGCCTGCACTGTAACCAGATACCCACGTGGCCCATTTGCACATTGAAGTTTGAGAAGCGCTGGCCTAGAATAGTATTTCTCAATCTCTACTTTGCACGCACAGATTATCTGGGCATCTTGTTAAAATGCAGATTCCTGTACTTCGCCCTGAGAGCTTGTGATATTCTGTGGCTGTGTGGGGCCTGAGGAGAGCATTTCTACCAAGCTCCCTGGAGATGCTAGCACTGCCTGTTTGGGAACCACACTTTGAGGACTACTGGTCTAGCTTGCCTGGGAAACTGAAGTGACATTTGATGTTGTTGGGGACATGGGCCTTAATGAGAGGGCCAGGCTGGTTTTGCTTTCCTGGACTCATGAGCGTGACAGTGAAGCTGTTTCCTGAAACATGGCAGCCTGTTATGGGAGTTGGATATGCATGTCATTATTTGTTCAGGCCAGTCTGTGATGGCCATTGTGGGACCACAGAAGAGGGAATTCTGCTCAGGGACTATCAGCCTTGCAAGATAATAGGATGCTGACAGGTTTGGCCCATTTCTGGGATTTGCATGAAGCAACAATAGTTAATTCAGTCTTGCTCAATTAAGGCCTAGAGACTTAGGAATGAACAGGAGCAGAGATTAGGGAGGAATACCAGGCAGTGGGTCTGGAAAAAAACTGAGGACGAGACTACGAAGAGTCTTCAATGTTTTATTAAGGAGTTTGGATTCTGTCTTGTAACTTTTTGCTGTAATTACATCTGTGTTTAGATGTTTCCATGTCTAATAGTGCTTACTATTGTGTGCTATTTTTTTTTTCTTTTAGGATTAAGCATGAAAACATCGTTGCCCTGGAAGACATTTACGAAAGCCCAAATCACTTGTACTTGGTCATGCAGCTGTAAGTACCTCATTTGATTGATAAATACAGTCAGTCTCCTACATTCCAAAGATGCGAATATGCATATGCGTGTCCAGTCATGTAAGTTAGTTTATACGTCTGGCGCACATTGTCATGTGTATGCATCTTCAAGTGGTTGTGCTTTTGTGTACTTTACTGTGTACAAAGTATAAAGTATAGTAGTACAGTATCTTTATTTCAAGCCCAGGATGTCTGGAAGCAAACGGAAAAGCAGTGGTGATGTAGCTGGCACTGTCTAACCGACTGTGTTAGTTGGGTACCTAGGCTCACTTTGTTGGACTTAGGAACAAATTGGACTTCGGAATGCACTCTCAGATCAGAACTCGTTTGTCTGTCGAGGACTTACTATACAGACCAGGTTGCTATCACCAATGCGTAAAGGGTCCAGGCAGGAAAATAAGTAAGAAAATAGGGAGCAGGGACACCTGTGGGACATTGGAGAAGGCTGTACCTATCTAAAGACCATGGGCTGTGCATGGAAGTCTACAAGCTTCCCTCAGACCAGTCTGCAGCTGCTGGGCTAGCATGGACACTTAGCGCCCTGCCAGGGTTCTTCCTGCAGGTTGTCTGTATTGCTTTCTAATATACCAGGGCCAAATATTGCTGCCTGAAGACACTTGAGTGGGCCTACTATGAGTACACTTTGCTCCTGTCTCTGGGAGAAACTCCCACGCTTGTCTTCCTTTCTAGGGATACCGGGGGTGGGGGAAAGCAGATGGTAACCGCAGTCTTTGTTCCTTCCCTGTCCTCTTCCTATGGCACAGAAATGCACGTGTGATTGAAATGGGAGTTCATGCTGGACACAGAGCAAGTGTCATTGGAGTCAGGCCATGACATGGTCATCAGGTTATTTCTGCAGTCTGTGATCACTGGACATTACCAAGAGAGGGAAGAAATAAGAAAGCTAAATATTCAGGCAGAGACTTTACTTGAACATATATTTGTAATAATTTAAGATGAAATTAGCCTCCCCACTTGCACAAATACTTTAAGTGATATAATTCCTAGGCTATCTCCAGGCTACAGTTATGAGAATTAACTGATGGAAACTGTGTCCAAATGTTGCACTTTTACCATTACCTGAATAAATACATTCTGGAACATCAAATTATTAAGCTTAATGACTGAAGAGGATTTTTGTTGAGGATCAGAATATATACTTAATTTCATGATTGATTAATGATTTTCACACTTTGGATTAGCAAGGGTAACAGTGTATTTTCCATGTATTCTTTTTCTTGTGAATGTTTAAATAACACATTAACTTGGGATCACATCAGGATGCAAATAAATGTTCATCAATGCATTTATTTAATCTTTTATCACCTTTAAAATATTTTTAGTAGATTATGACATTTTTGTGTAAATACTTTAAGAATGTCCAAACTGAAGGCATATGTCTGCTTTTTCTCTGTCCAATGGCAGCCCTGGGTGGTAATTAGCAGTAGTAGAGATTTGTGTGGCTATAGGCAGCCATCTGGCCAGGCACGGTGGCTCACTTCCATAATCCCAACACTTTGGGAGGCCAAGGCAGAAGAATCAGTTGAGGCCAGGAGACCAGCCTGGGCCACACAGTAAGACCTTGTCTCTATAAAACAATTTTAAAAAATTATAGTCAGCCATAAGACTGACTATAATTCAAAGAAAGATTTGACTGCTTGTTTTCATGTTAACTTCTAGTTACCTAAGTGCAGTATTTTCTAGTTCCTTGATCTTCTGTTTGTTTTACAATTTGCCATATTTCTCATTTTTCCTAGAGAGCAGACGTTCTCCCCAAATATGGGGACACTCCCTGGAGGCTCATGTGATTTTTGTTTAATATAAATTCTGCTCTTTAAAGATGCAGGCAAATAATTTTCTCATCAAATATTATTGCCTAATGGGAAGAATATGACATTTTGGTGACAAGCAAAAGCCTCACAAAATGTCAGCTATGTATTTGAGTGTGTGCTTTTTTACTGGTGATGCACAAGGCACCGATCCTTGAATTCAAAGCTATATATATGGATCTACTTGCTTAAGTTTTGTGTTTGTGGGACTATAAATATCAGTTAGCATATCTAAGCTCTGCCTCTTACTAGCTGGGTGATTTTGGACAAATAATTGAGTCTCTTTGAGTATCTGTTTTCAGCATGGAAAAAAATGGGGATAGTAATAGTCATATTTCCATGAGAGAGCTATAGTGAGTGGGGAATGAGAAACGAGTGGGAAATAGTCTCACAAACGAGTCGGTCTTCAGAATGTGCTGGCTTCTACGTGGACATCTGTATCATTTTATCTCTATGTCTCTACAGATAGTCTTTCATTTTATGAGATAAAGTTCAAGTAGATTTAAACGTTGCCTTTCTGCACACCTTGGTTGTGTACGTTCTAGCAGAAGTTTATATAAAAATGGGCTGGCATGAGAACATGAAAGTGTCTGGGACAGACCAGCCTTAGAACAAAGCTTGGGAGTCTTACGGTTGGCACAACTACCTCGAGCTTTTCCATCAAGCACTTCCCTCTTTTGTAGTTGGAGAAAACCTCATTAATATGGACCACACTCCTTGAGAATTTTAGTAATTCAGAGAGGAATTAGGTGGAATTAACCTTTAGAGGACACTATATGAGGTTTGTTAGGCAAATTAATCACAAAATCCAGTCTAGAGGCAATGAATGTTTGAATTATGAAAAAACGATGTATTGTGTATGTGCCCTATTAAGCAGTTTAAAAGTGCTATTTACACATAAATTAGATATGCTAATTTAAAATGTTAAATTCTATTGATTCTTTTTTCTTTTTTCTTTTTTTTTTTTTGAGTTGGAGTCTCACTCAGTCACCCAGACTGGAGTGCAGTGGCCGCTCCTGGCCACCGCAGCCTCCACCTGCTAGACTCTGGTGATCCTTCCACCTCAGCCTTCCAAGTAGCTGGAACTACAGGCACACACTACCACACCTGGCTAATTTTTTATTTATTGTAGAGATGAGGTCTCACCAAGTTGCCCAGGCGGGTCTTGAATACGCAGGCTCAGGCAATTCACTCACCTCAGCCTCCCAAGGCGCGGGATTACAGGCTGAGCCACCGAGCCCAGCTTGATTCTTTTTTTTCATTGGTTTTCATTACTTTTTAAAAAGCAACCTTATTGCCTATGACGTTTTGGTGACAAGCAAAGGCCCCACAAAATGTCAGCTATGTATTTAAGTGTGTGCTTTTTTACTGGTAATGTAAAAAGTACAAATCCTTGAGTTCAAAGCTGTGTATGTATCTACTTACTTAAGTTCTGGGCTTTTGAAACTAAATATCAAAGTATTTCAAGTACATAAATCCGAGATATAGAAAATTTCCCTGGCCCCCAGAAGATTCCTTGTGTCCCCTTGAAGTCCTCTCTCCTTCACCCATGACTGCAGTCAACCTGTGATCTACTTCACTCACTAGTGATTATTTTGCATTTTCTAAAATATTAAATACACGAACCCATGTGTTAACTCATTTCACTCGTAGTTATTTTGACATTCATCCATGTGGTAACATGTCTCAGCAGTCTGTTCCTTTTTATTCCCGAGTAGTTTTCCACTGTTATGGCTTTACCATATTTTGTGTATTTCCTTATCAATAGACATTGGGTTCTTTCTGCTTTGGGCTCTGATGGGTGAAGTTGCTGAGAACATTCATGTACAGGTCTTTGTGTGAATGTGTATTTGAATAAAGCCCTAGGAGTACAAATAGTGGGTCATGTGATTGGTGTTGTGTCTATTAATAACTTAAAAAAAAAAACCTGCCAGATGGTTTTCCAGAATGGTGTTATCATTTTATATTTTTATCATCAGTGTATATAAATTTCTGTTACTCCACATTCTTGCCAACTCTTGAGGCTTTCCATTTTAGCCATTCTAATGGATGTGTAGTGGTATCTCAGAATAGTTTTAATTTGCATTTTCTGATGATGAATGGTTTTAATCACCTTTTTATATCCCGATTGGCTATTTCTATATCTTCTTTTATAAAGTATCTGTTCAAATCTTGTGCTCAGTTTTTATTAGGCTATATTATTGGGTTGTAAGTGTTTTTTTATATTGTCAGCTATATGTAGTATGAATATTTTCATCCATTTTGTAGCCTGCTTTGTTTTTGTTTTGTTTTGTTTTTGAATTGGAGTCTCACTCCATTGCCCAGGCTGGAGTGCAGTGGCACGCTCACAGCCACTCCAGCGTTGACCTACTGGACTCCAGCAATCCTTCCGCCTCAACCTTCCAAGTAGCCAGAACTACATGCCTGTGCTACCGCACCCGGCTAATTTTTTATTTATTGTAGAGATGAGATCTCAATGAGTTGCTTGGGCTGGTCTTGAACCCTCAGGCTCAGGCACTCCACTTGCCTCGACCTCCCAAAATGCTGAGATTACAGGCTGAGCCCCCGAACCTGGCCTGTTGTTTTCTTAATGGTGCCATTTTACAAAACAGCTTTATTAGGACATAATTTACATACTATACGATTCACACATTTAAGGTTTGCTGTTAAATGGTCGCACAGTAGCTGGGCTTGGTGGCTCAGCCTGTAATCCCGCGCCTTGGGAGGCTGAGATGAGTGGATTGCCTGAGCCCGCAGGTTCGAGACCCGCCTGGGCAACTTGGTGAGACCTCATCTCTACAATAAATAAAAAAAATTAGCCGCGTGTGGTAGCACGCGCCTGTAGTTTCAGCTACTTGGAAGGCTGAGGTGGAAGGATCGCCGGAGCCCAGCAGGTCGAGGCTGCGGTGGCCGAGAGCGGCCACTGCACTCCAGTATGGGTGACAGAGTGAGACTCCAACTCAAAAAATAAATAAATAAAATAAAATAAATAAATGATCGCACAGTTATGCAATCATCACTGCAACTTAATTTGAGGACATTTTTGTCCTTCTAAAAGAAACCCTGTATTCATTAGCAGTCACTCTCAATTCTTCTCTCCCACAGACCTTGGCAACTACTTGCTTTTGGTTTCTATGGATTTGCCTGTTT